CGTTGATATCAGTGTCTCGTTTGAACCTGCATCCATTTATAGAAGTGTCTCGCTCGAAGAAGCAGAATCCATTAAAAAACAATGCATATTTTGGAGCTGTCTCCATTGATGGCCGTGTTTCATTTGGATATAAATCCATTGATAGCAGGGTCTCCTTTGGAGATACACTTGTCGAAAGCAGTGACACCTTCGAATCTACATCCATAGACAGCAGTGTCTCATTCAGAAACAAATCCATTAGTGATAGCAGTGCATCTTTCCAGACTAAATCCATGGCGAGCAGTCTCTCGTTCACGCATACGCTAGTGGATAGAAATGTGTACTTGGTACTACTACTGTTTCTGCTACCTCTACTACTACTTCTACTGCTACCATTACTACTGATCGTCCTACCATTCCATCTCGTGCTACTAGTACCACTGGTGGGCCTACTACCACTACTACTACTACTACTACCACTGCTACTACTACTACCACTACCACTACTACTACTACTACTACTACTACTACTACTACTACTACTACTACTACTACTACTATTACTGCTACTACATACTACTACACTACTACTACTACTACCCTCTACTACTCTACTACTTACTATACCACCCACTACTATACTACTTACTACTACTACTACTACTACTACTACTACTACTACTGCGACTACTACGATACTACGACTACTACTACTTACTACTACTACTACTACTACTACTTACTACTACTAACTACTACTACTACTACTACCACTACTACTACTACTACTACCTACTACTACTACTACTACTACTACTACTACTACTACTACTACTACTACTACTACTACTACTACTACTACTACTACTAGTACTACTACTACTACCATTACCACTGCCCTTCAGAGTACTAGTGATGTTGCTGCTGCTGCTGCTGCTCCTGTAGCTACTGCTGTTGCAGCTACTGCCATTGGAACTATACTCCGACTGGGGGTACTACCGTTGCCACCACCGAGGACAGTTTTAGCTCTACAGTATTGATTGTACAAATCAACATGCGACAAGATCCGTAGCCATTTGTTTGCTCGAAATCCACCTGTGCGCCCAGCCGCGGCGGTGCTCCTCAGCCTGCTTTCTCGCAGTGCCAGGACGCGACAAGGCGGCGTCGCCCCCGCCACCCCCGCCACCATCTCATGTCCCGGAGGAGTCTCTGCCGCTTCCGCCCGGACCGCCTGCTGAGCCAGATTTCGACGTGGTTTTTGAGCGAGCTCACCTCGAAGAGGTCCCCGTGCACCAGGCATGGGTGGCAAGACCGCCTGCCAATGGCAGCGCGCGCTGCGCACGCAGTGCGTTGCCAACGACGTGTCGTTCAGAAACGTAACAAACGACCCGTTCTACGACTGGAAGCAACTGCCCCGGTGTGCCGCTCCGGGTCTCGCTGGCCGGGTAATCGGCCAGGGCATCGCCCGGGTTCTCTTTCGCATCATCGAGACAGAGCGCGACCCAAACTACTCCAACACGGATGGCCACGGCAGGCATTTCTTTGAGTTCGTTCGCACAGACGGCTCAGCCATGCGCCTGCATTACCACAAGAACGGCCGACCCGATGAGCCCACCTATGTCGGTCCACCACGCGCCGTTGCTCAGCCTGCGGTGCCTGGGCCTGCCGCTATTCAGCCTGATGTACCTGGTGGCAGCGCTGCTCAGCCTGCCATGCCTAGCGGCGGCGTTGCTCAGCCTGCCGTGCCTGGCGGTGATGCCCCACTGCTCTTCACACTGGAGCACCTGCAAGAGGCCGCCCGCTCGCGCCAGACTGTGGGCCGCGACAAAGCGAGCGCCGCTCTCCAAACGCTGTTGCACTACCACCATGGCGAGTCTGCCCCAGGTGCTGTTGACATCACCGATGGCTCAGCGTTTGACTGGCTTCAATGGGTGGCACAGATTGAGGGTGCGCGCGACGTCATCCGGAATGGCGTCCACAGGGTCTACGTTGTCCGCTGGAATCCGCACTGGGCCCCAGAGGCCGTCTTCTGTTACGGCAGCAACACGTACAGCACACAGGTGCCTCGCAACGCGCGATACAATGGCTCATGGAGCCACACGCGCATTGTGATTCACCGACAGGCCAATTGGGTGACTGAGCCGTTGCTCTCTGCGGCCCCTCTGGCAGCTACGCCGTGGCTGTTGTTGCGGGATCAGGTGGCCTGGGAGTGATCTCTGGCAAACAAAATGTGGTGCTTCTCAGCCTGCATTCATGTGACACGCAATGCCGTGGCATGCACTCGCGTAGTGCTTCTCAGCCTGCACTCGCGCGGTGCTTCTCAACCTGCGCCTCCTCGGTATTTGCCAGCCGCCGGATTGGCGCGATTTCCTGCAATACAAGCGGGAGAGGTGAAGTATCCGAGCCCGCGTGTCCACGGTGCTTCTCGGCGCGCGTACTTGTAATCCTAGTTCCAGCAGTAGTAGGACTGCGCGGCCGCGGTGCTTCTCAGCCTCCGAGTTTCTGCGGCGCTTCTCAGCGTGCAAGTTTTGCCGATTGTCCGCTCCGCACGCCGCTCCTCAGTGCGCTCCTCTTCCGTTTGCGAGATGTCTTCCAAGATTTGGTTGGAGGCCGAGAAAGACGGACAGAACAAATCCAAGTAGCGCGGTCATCACCCCATCATCCTCCTCAATCATCACATCATCATCAATGGCTTCGCCGAGCACCCCGGTGGAGACTCAGGTCTTACGGGTCCGTGCCCATACTACTACTACTACTACTACTACTACTACTACTACTACTACCACTACTACTACTACTACTACTACTACTACTACTACTACGACATCACACTAAATCCAGTCATGGGAGTGCCTGTTTTGGAGCTACACTCATTGATGCAAGTGTGTCGTTTGGGGCTCAACCCGTTGATAACAGTGTCTCGTTTGGAATCACATCCGTTGATAGCAGTGTCTTGTTTAGACCTCAGTGCACTTATTCAAAGATCTCATTTGGAGATACCGTTATCGAAAGCAGTGTTTCTACTGCTACGACCACTGCTCCCATCACTCCTACTCGTTCACTCCACACACTACAACTACTACTTCACTGTTACCACTACTACCATCACTACTACTTCTACTGCCACTATTACTGTTACTATTACTGCTGCCGCTGCTGTTGCTGCTGCTAGTGTAGCTCTTGCTACTGCAACTACTGGCAGTGCCACTGCGACTGCCGCTGATGTTGCCACTGCGACTGCCACTGCGAATCCGAATGCGACTGCGAGAACACCAGAATTCTACAACAGCGCTCTTACATGAATACCATAGGCAATGTTTCCAGCTATGCTTCAACACGTCGCTGTTAGGTTGCTTTGCCGGGATAATTGTATAGCATATTTGGGTTTTTTCCATCCCAACTCCGCATGTAGGGGGACGCCCGACCTCAGCCGTGTCGTCTGGCCCCAGTGGCCCCGGGCACCCGCTCGGGAGGCCCGGGGCCTCGTGGGACGCGGTGCGCGGGTCCATGCGGCCCAGGTCGATGTTCTCGAGGGTCGGTCGAAGGGATCCGATGCAGCGATCGGGGGGGCCATGCACAGGCTCTCCGTCGTTTTCGGTTCGAGGCTCCAGGTTTTCCGTCGCATTCGTCCGTTCGCGGCGGCCTCCCGGCCCCCGGATGCGTTCCAACATATATGCGCCTCGTCGAGGGCGTTCCGGGGTGCTGGAGTCGTTCGAGACGGCCGCTGCTGGAGTGCCGAGCTATGGCCCGCAGGCCACCGGGGGACAAGCGCAGAGGGGGATGCATGGGCCCCAGTCGCCCATGGATCGCCGAGAGGCGTCCGATAGCCCCACCCGCCCAGGATCAGGAGGGGAAAAACACACAGACACAATTAATCGTCGATTCCCCCGAAAATATGGGAAGTGGGGGGAAGACAACAAACCAGAAAATATGGTAACATATGGGGCATATTTTTATTTGTGTGTATTTACTTGTGTGTCCTGGGGCCCCTTCACAGGAAGGCGCGTATTCACCATGGCGGTCCCCCCCCATCGTTGCCCCTCAAAGGGAGTCGAAGCTCGACGACGTCCCGAGTTAGTTGTTGCGAAGGTCTTGCGGCCGCCGGTGCCGCCGACCCTGAAGGGGGGGCGACGACCACGACGACCACGACGGCGACGACGACGATGACGACGACGACGACGACGACGACGACGGCGTCGACGACGACGACGACGACGACGACGACGACGACGGCGGCAGCGACGTCGACGACGACGACGACGACAACGCTGGCGGCGGCGACGGCGGCGGCGACGACGACGGCGGTGTCGGCGAGGGTCGACTCAAAGACGACGACACTCGATGACGCCCCGAGTTTTTCTGGTGCCTCGACCCATCCTTCCCCAGACATGCGATGCGACTATCCTGGGGATCCTGGCTGGTCATCTTTCCGAGCTGCTTTCGCAGCCGTGGCGACGAAAACCTCAAGGAACTGTCCAAATCGAGGACGAGAGGATGAGATGTCACGAGGTGGCTTCCTCCTCCTCCTCCTCCTCCTCCTTCTCCTCCACAACACGATAACACGCCGTCACGATGGCCAACGACCTTGCTGCCTCGAGGAGGACAACACGGCATCGGAGCTTCGCGCGGGTTTCTTGGATCGGCGTTGGTCCCCCCTCCCCGGAGGCGCGGAGCGTGCCAGGGGCGGCGCCGGAGGCGCCGCCGGGAGGGGGCCCAGCGTCGATCCGAGAAACCCGGGCGGAGCTCTGGAAGCTTATCTTCGTGCAGTTTTTTCTTGTACAAAGACCTCCACCCTCGCAGCGGCGGCCCTCGATCCTCGAGGGGCGATCCTCGAAGCAGCTTCATCCTCGAGCCTCGATCCTCGGAGCCTGGGCCCACGGAGGCGGTCCCTGATCCCTGACCCTTGCATCTCGATCCTGGATCCTCGAGCGTCGCCCCGCGAGCCTCGAGGCTCCGTCCTCGATCCTCGACCCTCGAGCAGCGGTCCTCGATCCCGTGCCTCTGCCCCTGCGCCGCGCCAGGTGGGGCTGAGCTCCCTGGCGAGGCGCCTGGGAGGCTGAGCGCCCTCCTGCCTGGCGAGGCGCCTGGCCCCCCCTCCCCCCACCCTCCTTCTTACTCCCTCCTCCTCCTCTCGCTCCTCCTCCCCCTCCTCCCCCCTCTTCCTCCTCCTCCCTCGCCTCCTCCTCACCCTACTCCCTCCTCTTCCGCTCTCCTCTCTCCTCCCTCCTCCTCCTCTCATCCTCTCCCCTCACTCCCTTCTCTCCTCCTCTCCTCCCTCATCCTCCTCCTCCTTCTCCTCCCTCCTCCCTCCTTCTTCCTCCCTCCTCCCTCTCTTGTCGATGCTGTCTTGTTTTCACACAGCGGCCTTTTGATCCAAGAGCACGGTTTTTGTGCTGAGACGCTCTGTTGTTCTAAGCACAGGTCGTGGTAGGCCTGTACGTAGGAATGCTGGGACGGTCGGCCCCTGCTCAAGTCAGCGCGATCCAGATGGGTCCGCCTCTCAGTTCAGGAAATCCAGTGGTGCACACGTTGGCTCCCATCGACGTGGCTTCGAGCATCGTGCGAAGGTCGGTCAGAAGTCAGTTTCTGGCAATGCAGTTGCATGCACAGTTCAGCACAAGCGGGAGAGAAGGGTTTACGGCAGCGCCTCCCCACCTCCGCAGCCATTTGCTTCCGAGGCCCCACAGAGGGCCGTGCTAGCAGCACGCATGGTGCACCGTATATGTGCGTTGAGTCTAGGAAGAAGTCATTATGATACGGAAAGTGTACGTACAACGACCGTCAACATTTCGTATCTATTTTGAGCAGGACTCGCTGTCGATGTCGCCGCGGACGCTGTCCTTTTGAGACAGAAGGCCGCCTGCTCAACAGCGACCGCTGTCGGTTTTGGACAACGTCTGCTTTTGGGCAATGTGCCAGGTTTTTCTGAACCGACTTCTGGCGTCCAAAGCAAGCCAGTGGATTTTATAGAGGCCCCCTCGGGGCAGAGTTCACCGACCTCGACATAAACACTTCGGTTGTGGTGGTGGTTGTGGTCAGGTTGGCCGTCTGGGACGCCCATATCGACCACAACTCAGGCCCCCTGGAGACCAAGACACAGACTAACCAGGACATTGGCAAGTCGGGGAAACAACACCCTTTCCTGCAAAGTCAGAAAGTCAGATTTGGTCGTCCAGTGCAGGTTTTTGTTGCTGCTCTGCAGGGTTCGGGTCTTTGTCCATGTCTAGTGTATGTTCTGCATGCTTTAGTGGCTTGTGTCCAGGTGTAATAATCCGGAAGTTTTGCAGTGCAGCTTTTGTTTCGTGCCGCCATCTGTACAAAAAAAGTGGTTTCGAGGGATCTTGAAGGTCTTGGTCTAGCGTGTCCAAGTGCACGGGGCCCTGAACAACCAGTACCAAGCTGGTTTCGGTGTTCCCGCGACTGGGCATGCGCAAGACCCCCAGGGTGTGTCCTCGATGTGGTTGTGGTCGCTTCTTGTCCCCGAGCCCTCGCCGTGGTGCACGGCGGAAGGTCTTGGCGGTGTTCGGCCTCAAGAGGTCGAGGATCGAGCTTCCAGGGTCGCGATTACCGGGTGGTGATCTTCGCCTGGCCTGGAGTACACAAGACTTTCGGGGGATGTTATACCGTATCAAAAACCCTAGGGTTTTTGTTTGTAAGCCCTCAGTTTTTGTTCTACCCTCGGTCTTTGTTTTTGACTCTCGCAGTGCTGAGGCCCCTCGCCGCCCCGGCCAGACTCCCTGGGAAGTCCTGGCCAGAGCGCGCCTCTTCTGGATGGGGTCCCTTGGGGTCGGCCTTTGGCCTCTCGGGGCCGGGGCCAGGGGATGGGGGGGGGAACTTCACCCCTGTCGACTGCACGCAGGAGTGGCCCCTTGCCGGAGTTTTACCCTCGGTGCGGGCCCGCGGGGGCCTCCTTTTCTGCCGCGCGCGAGGCGGCAGTAGCGTCCTGCGCGCTTGTGCGTGTTTTGGCCCCCCGTGGCCCCCCGCAAAAAAGCCGCGCACCACGTGCCACGCTTTGCCCGGGGTCTTGCCTGCGTGCAGCCGACCCTTTCTCGGATCGGGAAGGTCTTCTCGGTGGTTTCAAGGTGGGGTCCTGAGGGATGGGGTCCCAAGGACGAGGTGCCTCAAACAACTTAGATTCAACCCTGGATCCCTTCCTGTCTTCAGGGCCCCATCCCTGAAGACCCCATCTTTGGATCATAGTTTTTCGGATCTTTGTTGAGCCTCCGGGATGCCACTCGTCGCCACGGCTGAGGTTCCCCTCGAAGTTCTGAACAGAGCGCGCCCCCAGAGAGGTCCCGGTTCTGGTGTTGGAACCACCCAGACGCCCACCTCCTCGCGCCAAAGAGAAGTGACCACAGACGGTTTTTTGCAGATTTCGGCTTCCAGGGGCCACCACCAGGCCCCAGGACCGTCAAAGACGGCTCGGGATGACAAACCGGGTCTTTGGGCAAGGGATCGGGACCTTCGAGGGTTCACGTGGTGAAGGAGTCGCAACGGTTGATTTTTGGGAAGTCATGATGGAAATATTCAGATTGCAGTTCCTGAGGTTGACTTCAGCATCGTTGTTGGTATGTCCGTGGTAAAAACTGGCCCAATCCTGCTCAATCCCGTTTTATCCAGCGTATTATTTGGGATGCTTTGGCCTAATCTGGCCAGATGGTTTTTATATTGGGTTTAGTTTAAGTTTGATACTCATGACGTGGCCGGCCAGGGCGATAGCTGGAAATACATGTGGCCATCTTTCCAGCGCTCGGTACTTCGACGGCCGTGTACGCAGGCCCTGTGTGTGTGTCGATCCCCCTGGCGCGCCACGTCCTGAAGCTCAGCAGAAACCACATACCGTAGGCAGTAAACCACGGCTAGCCAATCCTTCGGCCAGCCAGCGGACCCCAGGGGCCCTCAGTGGATAGTCGACGCCCCCGTCGACCAGCGGGCGGCACCCCGTACCGCACAGCCGCGGCGCAGTTGAGAGAGTCCACCGGCCCCCCCTCAGGGGGCCCTTGACGCAGCCGTGGAGTCACCCTCAGGCGGCCCGTAACACATAGCTGAGGCACCTTCGCCTCACCCTCCTCCTCCCCCCTCCTCCCCCCCCTCCTCCCCCCTCCTCCCCCCTCCTCCTCCTCCCCCCTCCTCCCCCCTCCCTCGGGCTCTCCACATAAAGCAACTCGCAGCAGGCGCCAGGCACGCGAGGCCCCGCGCCCGCGCAGAGGCACAGTGGCCTTGATCCCCTAAGACTCCTAGCCAAGCCCTGCAGGCAAGGACTCGTTTTTTGGTCGGATGCGTGCCCTGTGGGAGAATAGACGGTCCCGCCTCCGCTGAGCTTTCCGCTGGCCAGGCGTGCACTGCTTCGATGGCGGGAGGGGCCCCTTGCAGGCAGCACCAAGCTTAACTTGGTCCCCCTCGAGACCGAGACGTAGCTGCCGCACTCACGACAGATTACAAAGGATCCGCCCGGTGCCCAAGGGCCTCCAGGGCACCATCGTCACGATGCCGCTCCCCACCCCCGGCCGCCCTCGCCTCGAGACCTTCGGGCACCCGCTCTGCGCCACTGCCGACCGCAGGGGCCGATGAGGGTGAGAAAGGAGGAGGATGAGGAGGAGGAGGAGGAGGAGGAGGAGGAGGAGGAGGGGGCCGAGGAGGAGGAGGAGGAGGAGGAGGAGGAGGAGGAGGAGGAGGAGGAGGGATGAGGAAGAGCAGGCC